ACTTCAGGAGAATACACAAAAAGGAGATGGATTCCTCCACCTCGCTGTGATTAATATACTACCTCAATCTTTCTTGGCCAAAATTAGTAAATATGGCCATTATGGCTTATTGACATATTTCTTGTAATTTGCTGTATATGTTCAACTTATATTACCCCAAGACAAAGAAATGCTTTGGTAGCATAAATGCCGAGTCATCTCCTCTTTTACAATCCTCATCACTTTGATTCCCAAGACAGCCTTGTGAAGTAGGAAAGAGGTTTGTCTGGGTTCCAACAGTATCTTTGAGGTCTTCCTTATGGCACTCATTGAATTCCACTGGAATTTTTCACTCATCATCTGTCTTCACAGCTGCACCATGGCTTGGTGCAAAGCAACCTCCCTAGGGCTTTAAATATCGTAGGTGTTCAATAAGCAGTCACTACATAAATGCATTATTTGGTCTATAAATTCTTTCTTGAGAGCAGTGGTTTTCAACAGGGGGCTGTGTTGCCCCTCAGGGGACATCTGGCACTATCTGGAGACAATTTGGGTACACTGACTGGGATAGGGGTGTAGTACTATAGGCATCAGGTGGGAAGAGGCCATGGATGCTGCTAAACAGGGCAACTCCCCACAGAAAAGAATTATCCAGCCCCAAATGTCAGTGGTGCCAAACTGGGGAAGCCCTGCTCTAAAGGCATCTCAAAGTAAAGCCAAAGCCCCTTGTTCACTCACACCAGCCCATCTAAGGACCTGGGAGGCACCAGAGCAATATATTCACGTGGCCACATGTTCTTGCCCAATGTGCCAATGCAGGTGGCTACTGGCAGTTTTTGGAGATGGCTATGGGAAAGAGCTGGGCATTCATTTAATTTGGGGTTAGCAGAATATACACATGTGTTCTAGGTCACCATGTATATCAAGTTCCTGCTCATTGTACTGGTGTAGGAATAGCCTCCAGAATAGTCCTAAAGCCACTTGGCCAGCTCCTGGGCATGGTGAGACAGTTACAGGCTAAAGGCTCCACAGGGATCTGAGTATTTCTCCCAGCACTCCATATGTGGGTAGTGGGGAGACACAGGGTTTGATTTAGGGGACCAGAAGCTAGTCCATGGAAAATTTTTCCAATAATCAAATGTGCAAATGGAAGCATGGAATTTAATTTTCATTGATGCTCTACAAAATAGAATTTCTTTTCTGCCCAAAATACACTTGATAGTACAGTGTATACAATTATAAAACCCCTAAGCATTTCTATTATTTTTTAAGTGATGTCAAATAAAACATCAGAATTCTTGAATTGTGGGGCACAAATCACATGTAGCAGTAGTATGAAGGCAAATACATCCATATATGGAGTCACATGTTTTATGTAACCCAATTACAGTGATATGAAACAAATTTAAATTAACCATATTAGAGAATGGTCAGAATTGCATAATTTTTAATGGGAAATATAAAAACACATCATTATAAGAAAAGACTATCAACTACAGATAGCCTAAAATGTGGAAAAGAGATTTATTACAGAGATGCATCAGGCAGTTAATGAGTAATAACTGTTATGTTATTTTTTTCTGGATCCTGTGACATTTTCACCTTTTAAAAATTTGTAATTTGTTGTGGTTTCCTATTTTATAAATATTCTCTTCTGTACCTAATTTTACATTCTTGCTATTGTTCTTAATTAGGGTCCCCAATTGTTATAAACCCCAGGCTCTATGTAATCGGGATTCTTCTCTGCCTACAGCTTTATTAGTCCCTAAACCCAGATGACTCATCCACTTACATCTCTAGACCAGACCTTTCCTGGGAGGTCTTTTGAGTGCTGGACTCGCATTAAATCACCTTGGCATCTGCTTTGGGATACTGGGGATTTCAAAGGCATCTCTCCAAACTCAGTATGCCTAAAGTCAACCTCCTAACACAGCTCCCCTTCCCAGGCCTCTGACCTAGCGTTCTCTCGGTGTTCTTTCCATGAATGTGAAGACACCCAGTAAGAAACCTGGAAATCTAGGGCTCATCCCTGGTCCCTATCTCTCGCCCACTCCTCTACCCAATTCATGGTGTCTTGCCAATTTTGTGTTTTAAGCGTCTCCTGAACCCATTTATTTTTCCCATCTCCACCACTGCCACCACTTCTCTGTCATTGTCCTCTTGGACTCTGAGAACCTCCAGTCATCCATTGGCTCACTCCCCCTCCCCACCAACCATTCTTCTGAGAGAGCCCAGCACGCTTTGGGAAACACAAGTCTGCTCATGTGCAAAACCTCCGACAGAGGCTCCTCAGTGCCCTTCACGTTATAAAACAAGCAAACAAAGCCTTTTAAAATGGCCCACAAAGATTTCTCTCTCCAGCCTCATCTTTCATCTCCCGCGGCTCCCCCCCCCCCCCCAAGCTCTGTGCTTTGTCCTGGTGTATTCCCATTCAATCCTCAGGTTTCTGCATAAGCATCACTTCCTATGGGAATCTTTCTTCGACTTTGGAGAGGTTCAGATCCCCACATTACAGACTCTCAGGACAGAGGATTCATTCAGAGCTGCTGTTGCAGTAATAATTTACAATGGCATTTGCTGCTCTTTAATGATATCTCTTTCGACCCTAGATGGTAAGTCCATGAGGGCAGGCCTAGGCCTAGTTTTGTTTATCGTTGCATCTTTAGCACTTACATAATGTTTGCACAGATAGGTGCTCTATAAATCTTTCCTGAATGAGTGAATTAATAAAAGGCATCAGGGATGTAGGCAGTCACAGAAGATCATTTCCATGGCAAAGACATTTGGTCACATGAGATAATTTGATGGACTGGGTGGCTCTCCCAGCACAATGCTGAGCAGGATCCCAAGGTCTACATTCAGGCTCCGCTGAATACAGCACCACGCTTGCTGAGATCTGCAGTGTTACGGGTGTATCTCAGGGCTTTCTCCCATGCAGGCCAATCCTGAAGAGGAGCCTCTTTCATATCTCCTACCTCTCATATCAGACAAGGCCACAGTGTGGTCCAGACACTGGGGGTGGAGTTTTTTTGTGGGAAGAGCAAGTGATATAAAAAAGCATTTAAAAAAAATATTTTTTGTCCTTTCAGGGCTTGTTCTTTTAGGATTATCATTTTATCTTTTATTGACTTCCTGCCATTGCTTCCCTTGCCCAGAAAGCCACATGGCCATTGTGCATGGAGGGATCTGGGAAAGCGTATCGTTTATAAAGAAGCTTCCTCCCATTGGAAAACTAAGATGATCACTTCAGGGTTCCAGGGAAGAGAGATGCAGCATGTGCCTCTGACGTTAGAAGGTGTAGTGGGCTGAACTGTGGCCCAAAGATAGCAAGTTCGCATTCTTAGAACCTGTAAATGTCACATTATTTGGAAAAAAAAAGCATCTTTGCAGTTGTGATTACATTAAGGATCTTCAGATGAGGAGATAATCCTGGATTATCTACTTGTGGCCTTTTACAAGTGCCCTTGTAAGAGAGGAAATTTAACACGTGTGTACACACACACACACACACACACACACACACACACCCCCCACACATACATACCCGATGGCAATGTGAAGATGGAGGCAGATTGCAGTGGTGTGGCCACAAGCCATAGAATTGCCAGCAGACACAAGCATGGACTCTCACTTCAGGCCTCCAGAGGGAACGTGGCCCTGGAGACACCTTGATTTCAGACTTTGGCCTCTGGAGCTGTGAGAGACTAAATTTCTGTGGTCTTAAGCCATCGAGTTTGTGGTAATTTGTTACAACTGCCACAAGAAAGTAATACAGAATGAATTATCATTTTTTCATTGCATTCATTTTTTTCTGTGATAAGAATTTAATAGTTAAGGTCAGGATTGGCTCTCGTGGAAAAAGGCCATGGGGTAGTCTGTGGGCTTATTCCTTCTATGGGTTTTAGGTCAAAAGTCTTGACTGGTGTGTTTGCTGAGAGGATTTTGAGGTTAGTAAACACTTGCTAGGTACCTAATGTGATTTAGGGCAGGTGGATTCAGAGCTCTGGGTATCTTCAGTGTTTCCCACAGCAATAAGAGCTCACATATATAGGGGATCAATTATTGAACAACTTGAAACTTTGGGATCATAGTGACAAATCAGATAAAGTAGTCAGCCACCATTCAGTGGATGATATTTGGGCAGAGAGCAGAATAAGGCAGGAATGCAAGTGCCAGAGGAAGTGAGTTCCAAGCAGGAGAAACGTAGCCACATAGACTCTGAGTCAGAGATAACTTTGGCTTAAGGACTATCAAGAAGGAAAAAAAAAAAAAAGCTGGAACTTGGTGAGAATATTATTTGGTGCACATAGGTTTACAATTATTGCATTTTCTTTGAGAGAAAAAGCCTTCTATTATTACATTACATTCCTTTTTACTGTGCTATTACTTTTATCTTAAATCCCACCTGTCTGGTTGGTATACCTTTGTCTATCCCTTTATTTTTAATTAAAATCACTTTATTTAAATTGTGTTTCTTGTAATAAAACTATCTAGGATAAATTATGTCCCATCTCTCCTCTGAGAAGACAGAAAAATGTGAATTCCATGTAGGAAGATTTCCACCAAAATTTTTAATATGAACATGTCTTGATACTAAGGAGACACTGCTATTATCTGAACATAATTTATATATACAAAATAACTCATTTCCTTACCAGGTTAAGTGTTTAAGGTATTACTGCACATGTCTTTCAATGTCTCAAAATTTTAGCATCTCTCTTAACATACGTGAGTTTTTACAAGTCACAGTTCCATTGATCCATAAAGAATGCAGTTACAATTTATAGAATGTAGGCAAAAATTATTAATTTACTTAACTAAGAACAATGTTGGTCTTCATCATGTCTGTGGTCACACTGCCAGGGCGCACGTGTTCTGAGGTGATCCAGCAGTGGGGATGGAGTGGCTGCGATTCAGCAAGGCTGTGTCAACTGCACTTATGGCCAGTACAATACTCCCGGGAGGGGCCCAGCTGTGGTGCAGGCCACAGCCTGTGACTCTGGGAAGGAAGCATCAAGTTTCAGCCCATGAGGGAATTGAACCTCTGACCTTGGCCTCATTAGCACCATGTTCTGGCCAACTGTGCTAATTGGTCACACATGGCAAAAAATTTGGAGACATGGAAAAGACGTCAGAGCACAGGATTCTTGACTTTAATGTGTTTGTTTTGATCTGATGGAAAAAAAAATCCTTAGACATTGGAGTCAGATGGAGCTTGCTTGGGTCTTAGCTCCCTCTCTTGATGGCTGGGTTACTTTGGCTTGCTCTCTGAATAATGGGGATAATGATGCCAACCGGAAAAGAATTTGAAATATCAAGAGAAGTTAAATAATTTGCATGGGATTACCTAACATTGAGTGCAGCACGTAGTCAATAAATACACTTTTATTGATCGGCTTCAATCATTGGAGGGAGAAGTGACGATGCAGATAACCAGAGTAGCTTTCCCTTAGCTAGATTTCCCCCCTCTTTCTCCACCCTCTGTCACCTTTAATGACATGACTAACATGTTTAGGGCATTGTTCAATTGCGAAGTGAAATATTAATGGTATAAAAGTAAATGTTCGACAGAGTAGACACACATTTTTCAAGCATTCTCAGTGAGTTTAGCCTTTAGTCTGTTGGACACATTGGCCAAGGTGAAGTCAGTCCCCGCCCCTCCCCACATGTACTCCAGGGAGACCAGTACAGGAGCCAAGACAACAAGTGCTGGAGACCGAATGCTGGGTGTTCAATCCTTGCCTTCCAGCTGGGGATCCTCCTGGAGCAAACGTCTGCCTCCCAAAACCTTGGTTTCTCATCAGTAAAGTAGGGATCACAATTGTTGGTACCTCTAAAGTTGTGGGGATGCAAGTGGTAAGAAAAGAGGAAAACTTAGCCTGATACATGCTAAGTGTTCAGAAATGCTCAGTAGATTCTCATGATCAAAAGCAACATTGGAATGACAACTAAGTTTCTGTGGCCGCCACCCAAGGGAAGGATCAGGGCTGATGTCTAACTTCTCTGCACTGCTCCTTTTTCAGAGACATTGAGCCCCCATAAACTTATTCACTCAGAATGTACAACTTTATGACAGATTGTGGGCTGCGTGCACACAAGGTACTACTTGTATTTGTTTCAGGAGTGAGTGTACCGTGTTAGCTTCCTAACAGGCTGATACTTGGGATCTCAGCCCAGCATTAGTCTCGGTCCTGTTCCAAGGACTTCTTATCCCCTGGCTCTGCCCTTTAGTTCCACATCAAGTTGTCCCGTCTTACCCTGCATCAGTGGTGCTGGCCTCTAGTGGAATCCACAGAACCAATGTCCTCATGTCTACTGTTCTTCATGTCCAGTCTCTACTGACTCTTTGCAGGTGTTACTCATGCTGTTGTTCTCCAGACTAAACCCTGTATTTTCCCTGAAAGAGTTGCTAATTTATCCATCCCACTGCCAATATTTATTTTTCCTCTGTATCTCTCACAGCCCCTCTGTCCCACATGAATCACCTTCGCCCATAGACTTGCATTGAGCCTCACACCTCCCACCCTCATTCATACCATCACTCGCTCTTCCTCTCTCTGAGTCCTTTCTACATAGTAAGCACACATTTCTTGGCCTCATTGTCTTTTCATCATCAATGCTAGCATTTTAAATATTATGATTACTTTTGTCTCTGCCACAATAAAATCTCAAAATATCCATTTAATTATTGTAGAGCAGCGATTCTCAATCAGGGGTAATTTTGTCTACCAAGGGACATTTGTCACTGTCTGGAGACTGTTTTGGCTGTCACAACCATAGTGGCGCTTCTAGCATGTAGTGGGTAGGGGCCAGGGATGCTGCTAAATAAACATCCTTCGATGCACAGAACAACCCCACACCTAAGGTTAATCTGGCTCAAATGTCAATAGAGCAGAGGTTGGAAAACTCTGCTATAGATTACGAAGTGTACTTATCTTAAAAAGGAAAAACAAAGGACAAACCAGTCACAGGGTAGCTGATGATAAAATAATAACTTTTTGTCATTTATTAAGTGTCTGGCACTGTGCCAACAGCTAGTCCTGTTTGTTTCATTTGATCCTCGTAATTATCCAGCGAGGTGGGAACTATGATGATCCCCCTTGCGAATGGTAACACTGAGGCGCAGAGAGGTTGAGTAATGTAATTAAGGTCACACGGCTGATTAAGGACCAAGTCGAGATACAATCTCTGGCAGCCAATGCTTTATTTTGAGTCCCTGTGATGAGCACTGATGCATCCAGGGATGGTCGTGCCGTGTCCTGCAGAGCAGGGGTGTTTAACCAGAGTGCTCTTGGGTGGGGTTCAGGAGGCCTGTGAACCCTCTCAAATGATGAGCCAATTTTTTTCTTTTTTCGGAGGAGAAGGGATATGGCTCAGACAATAATATTCGTTAAAGGGGATTTGTGGTAATATATATGGGAAATCCATGAATACCTTGTTCTTGACTTGCAGGGAGGGGTTGGGGATTGGGCCTGTCGAAGACTGCTTTCCTGGAAAGGTATGATTGTTTGCTAACGGGTTTAAACACCGCTCAGCCTTATGGGCCACCACTGGTTGAACTTGATAAGTCATCAGGCAGCACTGGACTTCCAAGAAACATTAAACAAAGGGCACAGTGGAAATTTGTGGAAATTTTAAGGAATGGGTGACCTGAGATGATTTAGTTATATATGATTAGGAAATGTAATGACTTAGCTGCTAACTGGTTTCACAGTACTGACATATTTGACAGTTGTATCAGATACCTGTGTCACAAGATAGGGTTTGCCACGTCATCACTGATATAGTCCGCTGTGATTCTCATTGTCCCTGATTCATGGCTCCCCAACTCCCCTAACTACCCACATGGTTACCTGCATTAAAACCTTCAATCCGGTTACCTCCAGCTTTCCTGGCTCAGGAATCACATTAATGCTTTCTTACACTTTCTAATTGATTATATCTACTGTCTAGGACATTTTCGATGTCCACCTGATATCTAGCAAGTTTAATACAACTTTCCCTTAGTTGTAGTGATTCATTAAGCCTTTGTTTTCTTTACTGCTTATCTCATTGGTTGCACAAGATGATGGTAATTGCTTCCTTTCTAATCCTTATTTCTCTTATTTGTTTTTCTTTTCTTAATGCATTGGCTGGGAACTTCAGAGCCGTTTTGTAAAATAACACTGGTGGCCATACTTGTTGTATTGCTAGCTTTGATAGCAATTCTTGTCAGTTTTCAACATAAAGAATGATATTTGCTGTGTTTTTCAGTTTAAAGAATTTTCTTTTTACTCAGTTTCTCTTAGTTAAAAAAAAAAACCACGAAGAGCCCTGGCCAGGTAGCTCAGTTGGAGCGTTGTCCCTGTACACCAAGGTGTGGGTTCCATCTTGTCAGGGCACATATAAGAATCAGCCAATTCTCCCTAACTGGTTTGGCTCAGCCTGTGGACTGAAGTGTCCTGGGTTCAATTCTGGTCAAGGGCATACACCTTGGTTGTGGGCTCGATCCCCAGTAGGGGGTGTATAGGAGGCAGCTGATCCATGTTTCTCTCTCATTGATGTTTCTAACTCTCTATCCCTCTCCCTTCCTCTCTGTAAAAATCTATCTATCTATCATCTGTCTATCTATCTATCTATCTATCTATCTATCTATCTATCTATCTATCTATCATCTATCTACCTATCATCTATTTGAATCAACCAATGAATGCACGAATGCACAAATAAGTGGAACAACAAATCTATCTTTTCTTCTCTCTCTCTCTCTCTCTCTCTCTCTCTCTCTCTCTCTCTCAAAAATCAATAACTTTAATGGATAAATAATTAAGTAACCATGAAGAATTGTTGAATTTTATCCATTTTGCATCTATTAAGGACATCATGTGGCATTTAGAATTATCTTTCTAAATTGACTTTGAACTTTTCTGCACTGACCCGTGATGTTCTGATTTCCCAGTTTAGCTCTCAGAGAACAATCGCACTTATAGGACGTTGAAGAGGAGACTCTCACTGTCACCACCCCTGTGCACCCCACAGCTACATGCAACATGCTCTTGGAAATACATCGGCTGAAACGGAATAACTGCTCCGCATATTGCCAACGTGACCTACTTAGACATAAGGTAGGGGAGAACAAATGTTTGTCATTTTCCATAAATACATGTCTCCAGATGTACATATTCACAGGGAGTCTGCACAAATAGCATTATGACATGTTCTAGGAGGTCTCCAGGGTCATAAATCAACCGTACTCAACCAGCAGTGTGTCTTCTGCAGTATTCTGTCTTTAGTCCTTGAGTCCACCCCTGACCAAAAACAAAGCATGGAATCATTTCATTTTATAAGGCAGTTAATTTTTCCAATATCCAAGTATAGGCGGTCTCTGCTTTGCACGGTTTCTTCTATGCACAAATTCTAGTTACCATGTTTTAGTTAAAGAACACCAGTCCCACAACAACATGATTCAATTTTGAGGTACCATGATATAGGAACTGTGATTAGTTGTGTAAAATACAAACTTCACAGCTAGCTCTTCGGCCCATGAAGCACTATGTGAAAAAGAGATGCACCTCCCCTCTCCCCAATAATGACCCATCAGGTCCCTTCCTCCCTGACAAGGACTGGTCCCTGTGCATCTGTGTGCTGTGCACCCACAGACAGCAGAGCGTGTGGCTGTGTTGCCTCCTTGTCTCCCAGTGATAATCCCATGTAACCTTTCATAAAAGTCAGCAATCAAAGCAGGGAATCAGCCAACAAAGATAAACATTCAGCAAAGAAACAACAAGTGACCCTGGAAGTGAAATTTGCATTGAACGCACAGGGAGTTATTGGAGCAATAGCCGACCACTGGGATGTGGATGCCATGCTGTTTGAGGGACTTCAGATGTTTGGCCAGAGGAACTTAGTGGAGGCAAACGTATCAATAACCGAGGAAAGTGCTTGTGACAAGAAGGTTGGAGAAGTCCCAGAGGAAATGACGCTGGCAAAAAACTTCACACCAAAGGAACTCTGAGATATTTCACGACATTCAAAGTACAAAGTGTGACAACTCACCAAGGCATGGGAAGGCATTCTCTTCGTGTCATAAGTTACACAGGAAAAGAAGAACATAGG